TGTGATACACCACATAAACAGAATTAAAAACAAAACCACATGATTATCTCAATAGATGTGGAAAAAGTGCAACAAAATCCAGCATCCCTTTATGATTAAAACTGTCAGTAAAATTAGCATATATGGGACATACCTTGATGTAATAAAATCCATCTATGACAAACCCACAGGCAACTTAACACTGAATGGGAAAAAGTTGAAAGCATGCCCCCCGGAGAACTGGAAAAAGACAAGGATGCCCACTCTCACTACTCCTTGTTATAGTACTGGAAGTCCTAGCCAGAGCAATCAGACAATAGAAAGAAATAAAAGGCATCCAAATCGGTAAAACAGAAGCCAAACTGTCACTGTTTGCTGAAGATAAGATCATTTATCTTGAAAACCCTACAGACTCCTCCAGAAAGCTCCTAGAACTGATAAAAGAATTCAGTAAACTTTCTGGATACAAGATTAATGTACACAAATCAGTAGCTTTTCTATACACCAACAGTGACACCAAGCAAAGAATTAAATCAAGAAATCAACCACTTTTACAATAGCTGCAAAATAAATAAATAAATAAAATACTTAGGAATACACCTAACCAAGGAGTCAAAAAACCTCTACAAGGAAAACTACGAAACACTGTTGAAAGAAATCGTAAATGACACAAATGGAAACACATCCTAGTGTGATTTTTGAGGGGTGCTGAAAGAGCTTTGTTTTGTCATATTACCAGGGTTGGTTTTCTGGTTCCTTCTCATTGAGTAGGCTCTGTCAGGGGAAAGGTCTAGGGCTGAAGGCTGCTGTCCAAATTGTTTTGTCCTGTGGGATGTTCCCTTGATATAGTACTTTCCCCCTTTGCCTATGGATGTGACTTCCTGTGAGCCGAACTGCAGTGATTGTTGTCTGTCTTCCAGGTCTAGCAACCCAGCAAGTCTACCCAGCTCTGGGTTGGTACTGGGGGTTGTCTATACAGAGTCCTATGATGTGAACTGTCTATGGGTCTCTCTGACATACATTCAAGTGCACATGAAACATTCTGAAGGCTAGATCCTATCTTAGGCCACAAAACAAGTCTAACAAACTTAAGAAGACCAAAATCATATCACATATCTTTTCTGTCCACAATCACATGAACCAGAAATGAATAACAGGAAAAAAAAATAGGAAAATTCACAAATGTGAAAATTAAACAACATACTCCTGAATAACCAATGGGTCAAAGAAGAAAACAAAAGAAAAATTTTTTAAAATCTTAAGACCAATGAAAATAGAAACATAACATACCAAAACTTTGATACAGCAAAAGCAGTTCTATGAGGAAAACTTATAGCAACAAATATTTACATTAAGAAAAAAAGAAATATCACAAATGAACCGTCTAATTTTACACAACAAAGAAATAGAAAAAGAACAAATTAAGTCCAGGGTTAGCAGAAGGAAGGAAATACTAAAGATCGGAACAGAAAAAAATAAAATGGAGGCTAGAAAAATAATTTAAAAGATCAATATAAAAAACAATATAAAAAGATCAATATGAGTTGCCTTTTCAAAGGATAAGCAAAATTGACAAACCTTTGCCTAGACTACTACAAAGAAAAGAAAGAAGACTCAAGTAAATAAAATCAGAAATAAAACAAGAGACACTACAATTCATATCACAAAAATACAATCATAAAAGACTAATATGAACAATTACATGGCAACAATTTGGCCAAACAAGAAGAATGAAAGAAATTCCTAGAAACACACAACCTACCAAGAATGAATCATGAAGAAAATCTGAACAGACCAATAATGAGGGAGAAGAATAAACCAATAATCGGAAAGCTCCCTAATGAAGAAAATTCCAAGACCTGAGAAGTTACCCTTTTCAAGCATTGGCATCACTTCTTTAAATACTTAGAATTCACCAAACTCTTCCAAGAAACTGAAGAGGAAGGAATACTTCCAAACTTACTTTATGAGGCCAGCATTAATGTGAAACAAGAAGGCTGTAAGAATAGAAAATTACAGGCCAATATCCCTGGTGAACATAGATGGACATATCCTCAAAAAAATATTTTCAAACCACATTCAATAGCTAATTAAAAGGATCATACACCATGATCCGGTGAGATTCATCCCTAGGATGCAAGGCTGCTGGTTTGACACATGCACATCACCTTAAAATGACAAAGAATATCATGTAATCATCTCAATAGATGCAGAAAAAACACTGGACAAAATTCAACATCCTTTAATGATAAAAACTATCAATACATTAGGAATAGAAAGAATGTACTTCAACATTGTTAACACTATATATGAAAAGCTCACAGCTAACATCACACCCAACAATGAAAATCTAAAAGCTTTTCCTCTAAGATGAAGAGCAAGACAACATGCTCGCCCTCGCCACTTCTATTTAATATAGTACTGAAAGTCCTAGCCAGGTAAATTAGGCAAGAAAAAGAAATAAAAGGCATCCAAATTGAAAAAGAAAAAAAAATTGTCTGTTTACAGATGACATACTCTTAATAAAGAAAACCCTAAATATTCCACAAAAAAACTATCACAACCAATAAATGAATTCAGTAAATTGTCAGGGTACAAAATCAACAACAACAAAAGTCAGTAGCATTTCTATACTCTATCCAAAAAATTTAAAAAAGAAAATCTCATTTACAATAGTATTTTTAAATACAGAGAAACAAATTAATCAAGATGGTAAAAGACCTGTACACTGAAAACTATAAAATACTGACAAAATAAACAGAAGACACAAATATATATAATATCTAATGTTTGTGGATTATAAAAACACTACTAAAATATCCATACTACCGAAAATTGAATACAGATTCAATGTAACCCCTACCAAAATTCCAATGGCATTTTCCCCTAAAATAGATAAAACAACCCTAAAATTCATAAGCAAACATAAAAGTCACCAAATAGCCAAGTAATCTAAGAACAAAACAAAGCTGTAGGCATCACACTATCTGATTTCAAAATATAATACAAAGCCATTATAATCAAGATACCATGATACTGGCATAAAAACAAACATAAATAAATGAAACAGAATAGAGAGCCCAGAAATAAATCCATGCATGTACAGTCAACTGATCTATAAAGGTCCCAAAGAACACACAATGATGAAAGCCCAGTCTCTTTAATAAATGGCTTCAAGAAAACTGTATGCCCACATGATATCCACATGATAAACTATATGTCCACATGAATGCAACTGGTCAGTTTTCTCACACCATATACAAAAAAATCAATTCAAAATGGATTAAATATTTAAACATAAGACTTAAAATTGTAAAACTACAGAAGAAAACATAAGGGAAAGCTTTACGACAGTCAGGGCAATGAATTTCTGGATATACTCCAACATCACAGGCAAGAAGAGGAAAAATTGACAAACAGGAGTGCATCAAACTAAAAAGCTGTGCACAGCAAAGGAAACAGAGTAAAGAGACAACCTATGGAATGGGAGAAAACATTTTTGAACCATAGATAAGGGGTTAATATCCAAAATACTAAAATATATATTAAGAAACTGAAACAACTCAAAAGCAAAAAAAACAACTTGACTGAAAATGAGCAAAGGATCTCAGTAACATTTGTTAAAAGAAGACATACAAATGGCCAACTGATACATGAAAAAATGTTCAACACCACTAACCATCAGGATCATACAAATGAAAACTACAATGAGGTATCACCTCACATCTGTTAGGAAGGCCATCATCAAAAAGATGAAAGATTAAGTGTTGCCAAGGTTATGGAGAAAAAGGAACCCTTGTACACTGTTGATGGGAATCTAAAGTGGTACAGACATTATGGAAAATGGTATGACGGTTCCTCAAAATAAAGTTACCATATGATCCAGCAATCCCACTACTGGGTACATATCTAAAAGAAATGAAATTAGTATCTCCAAGAGGTATCTGCACCTCTTATGTTCACTGCAGCATTATTCACAACAGCCAAAGTATGGAATCAATATAAGCGTTCGTGAACAGATGAACAGAGAAAGAAAATGGGGTATAATGGTATAAACAAATGTGGTATCATGAAATATTATTTGACTTTATAAAAAGAAGAAAATACTGTCATTTGCAATAACATGGATGAATCTGGGGAACATTATGCCTAGTGAAATAAGTTAAGGTACACAGAAAAACAAATGATCTCACTCATATGTGAAAAAAAGCTAATTGCAAAAGATTGTATACTATATGATTCCATTTATATAAACTTTCTGAAATAAACATTTAGAAATAAGGGCAGAAATGGGGTGGGTGTGATTATAAAAGACAACATAAGGGATCTTTGTGGTGATGAAACTACTCAGTATCCATGATAAATAAACAAACCTTTTCATGAGACAAAATTGTATAAAACTAAATAAATAATACACAAGTAAAACTGAAAAAATCTGAGTAAGATCAATGGATTGTAGGAATATCCTGCTTGTGGTATTGTAAAATAGTTTTTGGGTGTTTTGTTTTTGAGACAAGGTCTCGCTCTGTCACCTAGGCTGAAGTGCAGTGGCACAATCATGGTTCACTGTAGCCTCAACATTCCCCAGGTCTCAGATGATCCTCTCACCTCAGCTGTGCCTGGGACTACAGGTGTGCACCACCACACCCAACTAATTTTTGTGCTTTTTGTAGAGATGGAGTTTTACCATGTTGCCCAGGGTGGTCTCAAACTTCTGGGCTCAAGTGACCCGCCCACCCTGGCCTCCCAAAGTGCTGGGATTACAGGCATGAGCCACTGCACCCAACTTGTACTAGTTTTGCAAGATGTTGCCAATGGAAGAAACCAGGTAATAGGATACACAGAATCTCCCTATTTTACTTCATAGAACTGCACTGAATCTACAGCTATCTCAATAAAAATTTCAATTAAGAAATATGTTTTTTAAAAGTTTAGCCTAAGAAGTCAGTCTCCCTGGACTCTGAGTTTTTTTCAGAGTTAAATTCAAACAGTGTAGCTAGTGTGGGATATAAATGACTTACATTTGGGACATCGATTGCTACTTCCCTCATGGCACTGGGTCTGATATCATTCATTCCCTGCAAGAAATCATTCAGAGTAATCTTCACCAGTCCAGCTACCTTGTCATCAGGGAGGTTAGGTTGTTTTCTCAGGATTCTCCGCAAGGCACAGAGACCTGCAAAGAGAGGAATGTAACACAAGATTTGTCTTTTCCTTCATAAATACAGACTGAAATAATGCCACCGGTGGCCCATCTGGAGCAGCCACTGTGAAGAAACCAGCTGCAGTGGGGGAGGCATGGCCAGGACTGTGTACTTCATGAAGCCAGTGGGAGCCAGGAACAGGAAGGAACCCGGCTCTTTTCCAAGTTGGTGGGGCAGAAGCCCCACCCTTCTAGGCACAGCGGCAGCCACCCAGCCACAGATATGGACCCGGGCACCCCTGCACTTTTGGGAACCCAGGAAGCATCCCCTACCCAGCAGGCTCTGAAGTGCCTGCTTCTACTCCCCGGACTCTCCCCAATCCCAGAAAAACTTTTTGCCTGCTCGGATTTCAGACTAAAGTTGAGGCTGAGCCTAGCTGCTGTCACGACCCACCTAAGTGTTCACACACTCAAGGCAGCACTGACATGCCAGCTCCCTGCCACCTTGGCCCCCTCCAGACTCTGGGTGCCAATGAGCACAGGAGGGAGGCTGAAGAGTAGCAGAGGGTGGCTCAGCACAGTCCTGCAAGCGCCCCTGAGCACAAACAGCCTGGGAGCCATGGATGACATGATTGATGGCAGAAGGAGGCAGAAAGGGTTGAGACCCTGGTGAAGCTCCACCTTCCAGTCAGGGATGGCCTGAAGCATGGGATCCAGGCTGTCAGTGCCGTGTGAAGTCTGCAGCCCAGAGCTAGAACTTACAGTGCTTTTTCTGGGCCTGCCCATCGCCACCCATGGACCAATCAGCATGCACTTCCACCCTTCTGAAGCTCATAAAAATCCGACTCAGCTGGACTCATGGGGACATTAGGACTACCAGCTGTGAGAAGGAGCTACCCACTCTGGGTCTCCTCTCCACTGAGTGCTGGACACTTGTTTGGACACCCTGCCTACGGAAAGGAGCTACCCACTCTGGGTCTCCTCGCCGCTGAGAGCTGTTTACTCATCAAGACAACCTGCCTACAGAAAGGAGCCACTCACTCCAGGTGTCGTCTCTGCTGAGAGCTGGACATTCATTGGGATGACCAGCTTGAGGATAGGGGCTACCCACTCTGAGTCTCCTCTCCACTGAGAGCTGGACACTAGTCGGGATGACCAGCCTGTGAATAGAAGCTACCCATTCCGGGTCTCCTCTCCACTGAGAGCTGGACACTCCTTGGGACAACCTGCCTGCAGAAAAGAGCTACCTACTCTGGGTCTCCTCTCCAATGAGAGCAGGACACTCACCAGGATAATCTACCAGCAGAAAGAAGCTACCCACTCCAGGTTTCCTCTCCGGTGATAGCTAGATACTTGTGAGGATGAACTACCTGTGGACAGGAGCTACCCACGCAGGTCTCCTCTCTGCTGACAACTGGACACTTATCAGGACAACCTGACTGCAGAAGGACTTACCCACTTTGGGTCTCCTGAGGGCTGTTCTGTTGCTCAGTGAAGCTCCTCCCTGCCTTACTCACACTCCAGCTGTCCACATAACTAATTCTTCCTGGACACTAGACAAGAACTCAGGAATTGCCAAATGGTGAGACTGAAAGAGCTGTAATGCAAACAGGGCTGAAACATGCCCCTTGGTCACCACATTGTGGGCAACAAGAAAAAGTGGAACTGTAGCCCTTTGGGAAGCCCAGACACAAGAGCTCCCCCTACCAAAGCTGTGACACCCTCTTTTGGGCTCTGCTGTTTCCAGCATCTCCAAGCTTCTGGGTACCACCACATTCCCTGGTGCCCCCAGTAGAAGCCACTTGTGGTATGCCTGGTCCAGCCACATCCTCACATGAAGGCAGCACCTGTGCCTACACCTGGAGCTGCCCGCCCTGCTGTAGCCAGCATGCCTGGTTGTGCACAGTGGCCATACCCCAGGTTTGCTCACACCCCCTTTGTTGCTTTGTGCCTGGCTCACCCTTGGCAGGTGGGATCCAGGCCAAGAGCACAAGCTGAGTGTAGCCTGCCGGGCAGAGTGGGCAGAACAAGCCCAGTGCACCCGAGCAAAACTCAGGCAGAGGTGGTACTGGCCACAGAGGTTTCTGGATGGAAAACTGACACTCTAAGGATCTGATGACAGAATCATCACCAATATAAATAATTAAAATAATTAAAAACCCAAACCCCAAGCAAGATTACAGCAGTTAAAACATTTTGTTCCTGTAGGGGAGTGGATGAGAGGTAGGGAAGGAGATGGAAGAATGTGAAGGATGAATGCAAAAATCCAAGCACTTAGTTTTGGCAATGAAACTATGACAAATATTTAATATGAGAAAGTATAATTTACAAATATAAAATAGACTTCACAAAACAACACCCATAAAAAAGAGCCATGAAGGTTTATCAAAGTAATTTGTTTGAGGAACTTCTTTTAAAAGAGTGATATATTAAAATTAAAACATGCTTTTGCCCCTGCCCTATTGGTAAATAAATTCAAACTAGAATTACAAAGTTTTAAGGTATTGGAAAAACACCTGAAAGGAAATATTCAGGTGGCAGTTGGAAATGTGGTTCTGGAATACAAGAGCAAAGCAAACTTCAAAGTGATAAGCATACACATGAGGTTTGATATTACAGCAATGGAGAGATCCATAAGGGGAGGTTAGTGAGGGGTCAGGGCTGGAGGAATAAGTGTAGAAAGCTCAATCTTAGGAAGGCCCATCAATTGAATAGCATCAAAAGAAATGATGGTTTTAAGAGGCTGAGAAAAAATAGGAAGACACAGAATAAAAGGTATCTCCTTAAGCTGATAAGCAACTTCAGCAAAGTCTCAGGATACAAAATCAGTGTGCAAGAATCACAAACATTCCTATATACCAATAACAGACAAACAGAGAGCCAAATCATGAGTGAACTGCTACAAAGAGAATTAAATACCTAGGAATACAACTTACAAGGGAGGTGAAGGATCTCTTCAACGAGAACTATAAACCACTGCTCAAAAGAATAAGAGAGGACACAAACAAATGGAAAAACATTCCATCCTCATGAATAGTAAGAATCAATATCATGAAAATGGCCATACAACCCAAAGTAATTTATAGATTCAATGCTATCCCCATCAAGCTACCATTGACTTTCTTCACAGAACTGGAAAAAACTACTGTAAATTTCATATGAACACAAAAAAGAGCCAGCTTGGCCAAGATAATCCCAAGCAAAAAAAAAACAAGGCCAGAGGCATCATGCTACCCAGCTTCAAACTATACTACAAAGCTACAATAACAAAAAAAGTATGGTACTGGTACCCAAACAGACACATAGACCAATGGAACAGAAGAGATGGTCTCAGAAAGAATGTCACACATCTACAACCATCTGATCTCTGACAAACCTGACAAAAACGAGCAGTAAGGAAAGGATTCCCTATTTAATAAATGATGTTAGGAAAACCGGCTAGCCATATGCAGAAAGCTGAAACTGTGTATGGCTATTTTTGTATAAGATGTAAGGTGTAACCAACCTTTATTTACACCTTATATAAAAATTAAATCCAGATGGATTAATGACTTAAATTTAAGACCTAAAACCATAAAAACCCTAGCAGAAAACCTAAGAAATACCATTCAGCACATAGGCATGAGCAAAGACTTCATGACTGAAAACACCAAAAGCAATGGCAACAAAAGCCAAAATAGACAAATGGGATCTAATTAAATTAAAGAGCAATCTCATTACTAGATATATACCCAAAGGATTATAAATCATTCTACTATAAAGATATATGCACACGTATTTTACTGTGGCACCATTCACAATAGCAAAGACTTGGAACCAACCAAAATGTTCATCAATGATAGGCTGGATAAAGAAAATGTGTCACAAATACACCATTGAATACTACAAAGCCTTAAAAAAGGATGAGTTCGTGTCCTTTGCAGGGACATGGATGAAGCTAGAAACCATTATTCTCAGCAAACCAACACAAGGACAGAAAACCAAACACTACATGTTCTCACTCATAAGTGGGAGTTGAACAATGAGCACACATGGACACAGGGAAGGGAACATCACACACCAGGGCCTGTTGGGGGTTGGGGCGCTAGAGGAGGGGTAGCATTAGAAGAAATACCTAATGTAGATGACAGGTTGATAGGTGCAGCAAACCACCATGGTACGTGTATACATACATAACAAACCTGCACGTTCTGCACATGTACCCCAGAACTTAATGTAAAATTTTTAAAAAGAAAAAAAAAAGGCTGGGCATGGTGGACTGCACCTGTAATCCTAGCACTTTGGGAGGCTGAGGGGCAGATCACAAGATCAGGAGTTCGAGACCAGCATGGCCAACATAGTAAAACTCTGTCTCTACTAAAAATACAAAAAATTAGCTGGGCATGGTGGTGGGCACCTGTAATCCCAGCTACTCAGGAGGCTGAGGCAAGAGAATAGCTTTGAACCTGGGAGGTGGAGGTGGCAGTGAGCCGAGATTACACCACTGCATTCCAGCCTGGGCAACAGAGGGAGATTCTGTCTCAAAAAAAAAAAAAGTACTAAAGGAGCCATGAAGACAAGTCAACAAAGTCAAATTTAGAGAGATCCAAAATAAATTCAAAGATGCCATGCTGACTTGAAAAGTTAAATACTAAGTTCTCCGTTGTGAGATTCAGAACCTTTAGTCTATAAGACAGTCACTATATAGGCTCTTTGTCTTATGAGTGTTTAATGAAGTTCCACTTTGAAGAAGTTTAATCTCAGAGATTTCTTAGAAAGCCAGTCTTAATATCTAAAGTTGTCCTGGAACACCAGCTAGCTCCCCTGAGTTTTTAACTTTTCTTATTCAAAACCCTATGTCTCGATACATTTTTACTAAATTAAAATGATACCACTCCATCATTTTACTTGTTTTCACTACTTTGAACTGTATATACATAAACAGAAGCATAAATAAAAGAAAAGAAGACACAAAACTCCCCAAAACAGAGGGTTGAGTATCTTTCACTACCAAGAAAAAGCAGCGAATAGTACAAAGACACTCCAAAAATAGA